GCGTTTTACTGACAGTCAAAAAATGTTCATCAACAATCGATAATGTCCTTACACTTCAATTAATTTCAGACTCACTGAGCTACACTTGATAATCACGAAAATTTATCTACAGCTGGCTATCTTCGATAAAATCTCGTTGATTTAAAATTTTTTTATTTATGATTAAAAAATTTTTATTTGACTTTCTATTCTTTTTTTATTTAGAATTTCGTATATCAATATAAAATAGAAAATAAGTAGTATCGAAAAAGTCGATAATATTTTCTTTTCTATTTTTTATTGATACGAAATTTCGAATAGAAAAAAAATAAAAGGTCAAACAAAGATTTTTTTAATATCAAATATCGATAAACCTCTCTAACTCAGACTTCTCTTTTTTGTTATTTTTTTATATAAACCGCATTCTCTCTAAGCAAAATCGTCGCGTTTAATCTCGAGCACGAATATATAAATTTAAATACTATAATGTAAAAACATAAAACAACCGAAATTTAAAAATTAACTGATCAATCGATCAATAAATTAATACATAGACAAAAAATTTTAGTACAATCCGCGAGAATGAATGACGTGAGATCCAAAAGGGACGATAATTTCCGAAGCAATATTCACGCAAAAAGTATCAAGCAATAATCAATATAATGAATTTATCGTATTCTCGCGCATGTGACATTTGTCTTTATAAATTTTCACATATATCATGTATATTCATATAAACATCTCGTTATTTTATTGTAAAATGTTATTAAAATTACATTTAATACGATATATGAAATGTGTTTCATTTCACATTATATTATGCATTTTAGTATAATTGGTATATAACTATCAGTTTTGAGACATTTCTATATGTAAAAAAATGATTCTGTCCCGCGACAGAATATTTATTGGATTCTCATGTCATTTTATTTCATTTATTGATGCAAATAACTCAAGCTATTAGATAGATAGACTATAAAAGATTAGGATAAAATTAGCGCGTTATATATATGTATATATAAATAAAAATAAATATGCAATTTTTTAACAATCATTAATGTGATTGTTAATTTATATCTAATAAGATTCTTCAGAAGAATATGTGAATCTAAAATATCTTTTGATCTTTTCACTCATCCGTGATACATGCATCATGTTAAATTTGTTTATACATTTTGCTTTCTTGCACCAATTTTTGTAATATTTAATCCTGGAGAAAAGGAAAAAGAAAAGGAAAGAAATACATTTGTGAAAAAATATAAATTGTTGTAACAATAACTTTTTTTATATGTAATTGTTTGATTTATTTTATTTTATTGAACCTATCTATTCTTTATTTACAGATATTTCTCTTATTATTTTTTATTTCTTGAATTACACTTAAGCTATTTCTATCTATTGCCTATCTATAGAAAATTATTATTATTATTGTATATCTCAAAAATATGTAGAAATATTTTTAAAACCTTATTACCCGAAAAATAAACATCAAGAGAAAACTCAAGTGATGAGACACCTCATATTAAAAAAATATTCTATTTCTTGTAAAATTTTATTTTTATTCTTTATCTCTTTCTATGTCTATTTTTCAATAATTATTTTAAAAACAAATTTGAAAATGTAATTAATTTAATAAATTTAGTTAATTGATAACGAATATAGATACTTGACAATAAAATATATATTTCAAAATTCCAATGAATCACCTATAGGGTACACACTTGGCGGTTAGTGTACTATGCGATAAACATTAGACGCTGCATCAAATAAATGATGCATCGACATAACGAGCTCTGTTGTGAACTCGATATGTGCTAACGCGAGAGCATTCTCGCGTAAGCACAATAAATTGATAAATGATAGAGTTCCAGGATTAATTATTTAACCTAGTCTGATTTATAGTCTATCCATTTCAGGGCAACGGATCTGTGAAAAATCGCATTTATCTGCATTGTTAGATGGGAATAATACATAAATATACAATCTAATATTCACACAGATTCGTTTCCCCATTATAAAAAAAAAAATTCCTCACTCACCGACCGATGCGCAACGGGCGGAGTTATCAGCTACGTAGCTACGATGATACTGTAACATACAAACATAAGATTTAAATTAAAGAAGCGCTCAAAATAATCAACATTTCAAAAGATAATTCTTAATTCATTATATTGGCTTCTATAAAATATTTAGCAATACAATTATCTGTTTACCGAAAAAGATCTTTACAAGAATACAATTTTAGATAATTTTTCTCTGTCTTTAATTACTTTTAACTTATCAAAATGTAACAATTCGAATAAATGGAAACGAATTATTAATTTTATGTAGCTAAGAGGTGATACTTACCCCAAGGTTGCTCCGCCGGTGCCGGATGTCTCTCTCGGACCTCCTCCTCTCAGATCGTCAGCAAGTCTCTCTTCCTTCTCTTCTCACCGCACAGGACACTCGCGAGAAACACTCGCGGATAATAAATTACAATCGCCCGCGGCCTAATTATATTATCAATAAAATTCTTTTTCGCGCGATACTGTACGGCACTCCCGTTTATAAAGCCCATGAGAAGAATATTCCGTCAAGTACGCCGTAATATTTTTCAAATAGGCTTTGCAAAAGTCTTTTAGTCCGAATACTTGTACGGCACTCCCGAAACAAACGCGACGAACCGGCTGCGGTTCGTTTGTTCAATTAAATCGGCGGACGGAGACGGAGGGTACGTTAGCTTCCCCGTCTTTGGATTTTTATCCAAGCAGAACGAGAGTTTTGCTTGGATAACATCCTCGTACTGGATACTGGGCCTTCCCACCTCACCAAGGTCGTACCTATGGGGAAGGAAGTACTTTACTCTGTAATATAAAAGCAGACAATATCAAATTAAATTATATAAATATGAGATATTTCCCAAAATATATATATTATCACATTTTCTAACACGGATTTTTCGTGAAAATTTGAAAGAATCGCGACGCCGATTGCCCCGATTCGTTCCGCGTTCATCACCGCGTTAAATTAACGACGACGATGAAATGTTTGAAGATGTCAGTAACTTGGTACGACACCACGCGAATCAAGTGGACGGCTAGTAAAGACACGCAGTTAATTAATCAAAAATACAATAAAAATTAAATATTGCACGCACAATACGGCGGGATCGAGCACGATAAATCTCGCGAATGTAAATATTCGAATCACTCGATATACGATTTCACGTTGTCACTCTTTTCCCCTTTCGAAAAGAATCGGAGATAGCTCGCATTTACAATTCCGCCAGAGCGTTTAAAACACGACGCTATATTCGAGAGTCCAGATATATGACGAGACCGCGAGACGAAGGATTATCATCGCTCGCGAATGCATCACGAAACTGCAAATCACTCACAAATCACATAATCACAAATTACCGTACCTTCGCCTCGACGTCTCCGCCTCGAGCGATTCACACGACACATTCATTTCGACACTGTCCGACCAGACACTTGATCTTGATACATTGCGAAGCGAATTGCGAATTCTTGAGCGCGTAGTCGATTATTCCCGCAAAACGAGGAGCAGGAGTGCCAATCGCAGGAAAAAGCGCGTTCCGAAAAACACCATACAGCATTCACAGCCACAGCACGAAGCACGGCGACGGGCGCACGGAGCACTTCACAACTGTCCGAAATTCGGGAGAATGACCGAATGATTTCCGTAGGTAACGGTACTCCGAAAGTCGAAGAAAACAAGCGGCAAGGCCGCTCACCGACAAGAACAATCGATCGCACGCCGTTTCTGCGTTCAATGGTCGCGCCTATGGCCGCATGGCGTCTGGTTACCGGCACAGACCTGAGGCTACGCCACTGCATCGCGCAACAGCAGTGGCGTTTGTGGTGGTTTGTGGCGTTCACGCTTCACGCTCGCGCTAGCGCAAAGAGGCGGGTTTCAAAATAGGTACGCTTCGCCTGTACATACTCGCACATAACCGTCATTGTCAGCGGGGGACCGCGTAAAATCTGTGCTAACGTGGGCCGGAGAGAAACTCGCGAAATGTCAGATGAGGAGGATTTCATGTGCGAGGAAGAGGAGGATTACGGATTGGTAAGTTTCCCTCCGGAGGATCGCACGGCCGTCGTTTTCGCGGAACGTTCCGGCTCGCGGGTGAGGTTAGAATTTCTGGAGCACTCGCGTCCGGTATACAAAAATAGTCCGAGGGATACCTCGAATGGTCCTTCTCGATGAACGGGCCCGTCAAAACGGGTTCGACAAATCTTCCATTGTATCGTGCGCAAAACGTTTCCGATTTTTCGGTTGGTTATAGGTTATGTTTAGGAACCATCTTCGGCGGTGTTGAATTAAGCACGCTCTATTGTCCGGGTACATTCCGTTTCACGCATGGTGCAACATTTATCCTTGATTAACATTCGGTGAACAACAAGGATAAATGATACATTGGGCGCATGGTGCGTGAAATAGAATGCACCTTTAGACGTCGTTGACTGGACCAGCATCTCTCTAAACGCTTAATTTGTTTTAGCAGTATTCTGAAGACTCCAATTCTGAGCCAGATGTCGAAAATTAGTATTATAATAGAACAGCATCATTTATCCTTGTTTAACGTTTAGCGAATAACAAGGATAAATAATGCGTTATACGCATCATGCTGCGTGAAACGGAATGTACCCTTAGATGTCCTTGGCCCAGCATCCCTAATCGCCTAATTTGTTCCAGGAGTATTCTGAGGATTCCAACTCTGAGCCAGACGTCGATTTAGAAAATCAATATTATAATAGTAAAGCTCTCAAGGAGGATGACCCGAAAGCTGCTTTACAAAGTTTTCAGAAAGTACTGGATCTGGAAGGCGGCGAGAAGGGAGAATGGGGCTTCAAGGCTCTCAAACAAATGATCAAAATTAATTTTAAACTGGTACCTGAGAAAAAAATGTGTTAGACATACCTGTAGCTCTCTGATTGTACCATAAATGTTAAACGCAACGTCTCCTTTTCAGTCCAATTATAAAGAGATGATGTCGAGGTATAAACAATTGTTAACGTACATTAAAAGTGCAGTTACTAGAAATCACTCGGAAAAGTCAATAAATTCCATATTGGACTATATTAGTACATCAAAGAATGTAAGTACATTCAGCGAATAAGCATGTTATTGTATTTAGTATCTCGATAAATCGTTTTATTCTTGATTAATCTTTTTTTACTTACTTTAAATTTCTTCTGCATTTAAAAAAGTAACGAATATGTTTTTTAAGATGGAGTTATTGCAAGACTTCTATGAAACCACATTAGACGCATTAAAAGATGCAAAGAATGATAGGTTATGGTTTAAAACAAATACAAAATTGGGAAAATTATATTACGATCGTTCAGATTTTAATAAATTGGCGAAAATACTAAAACAGCTTCATCAAAGTTGTCAGGTGTGTATATGTATATAAGTATCATGTGAATGAATATATATGATATATACATATATTTAACTTATTATCAAATAAGTAACATGTGATTGAACACACATGTGCACATATTATTTATACCTATATTTAACTTAGTTTACATATATATTTTTTCAGACTGATGATGGAGAAGATGATCTGAAAAAAGGAACGCAGTTATTAGAAATTTATGCCTTAGAGATACAGATGTATACAGCACAAAAAAATAATAAGAAATTGAAAACACTTTATGAACAGAGCCTACATATTAAAAGTGCTATTCCCCATCCACTAATTATGGGTGTTATTAGAGGTAATAACATGAATGTTTTCCAGAAGCATACAATAATTTATAACGTTTTACGTTATCGCGACAATTTTGCAATGTATGTATATTGCTTTAGAGATACAAAGAGTAACAAAGTGCTTTTTTCAGAATGTGGGGGTAAGATGCATTTAAGAGAAGGTGAATTTGAAAGAGCTCACACCGACTTTTTCGAAGCCTTTAAAAACTATGACGAGTCTGGTTCACCGAGACGTACAACATGTTTAAAGTACTTAGTTTTGGCCAATATGTAAGTGTGATTATGTATTCTCCATTATTATGATTATTATCTAGATTATATTTATACAATTAAATATATATATTTATATGATTATGTTATTAGGTTAATGAAGTCTGGTATTAATCCTTTTGATTCACAAGAGGCAAAACCATACAAGAACGATCCTGAAATTCTAGCAATGACGAACTTAGTTGTCAGTTATCAGAATAATGATATTAATCAATTTGAATTAATTCTAAAACAAAATAGGAACAATATTATGGATGATCCTTTTATCAGGGAACACATTGAGGATTTATTACGGAACATACGTACACAGGTATATCTCATATCTTCAGCTTATATTAATGTTAGCATTAACTAAATTGTCTTACAATTTGCTCTGAACAAATAACAAATTAAGTAAATAATAGGCTATGAGAGCCGATGCAAGATCTAATATGCGGAAAAATTATATTTAACAATTCTTAGTCAATACATTAAAAATTTCAAACGTTT